AAATTGACAATAGTAACAGTAGTTAATGTTTGCATGCTTATTATGTTATCGGGTACTGTGTTAAGCTCTTTACATCATGTTTTATTTCATTTAATCCTCACACAACAAAAGAATTTCATGAAAAGGTAATTACTGTCTAAAAAGCATCCCTTGTGTTTATGGGTTGTAGAATATGTTCTACCCTGACAATTTGTATAATCTCTCTCCCATAGACATTTTGTAATTGGCTAGACAACTCTATGACAAGTTTGAGATTCTGGCTTACAAACAGGAAGACATATATAAAAGCATCTTGGGATTCCTTTAAATCCACAATGTTGTTATTCTAAAATACATACACTAAGATAATTTATAAACCATGCCTTTGAATATAGTGATCTTTGGTTTCTGACTGTTCTTCTGATTATATCTCTCCCCAAAACATCCTTATGAAATGACTATAACTTTACCAACACTTCTAGATTCCTTGCAAGATACACAATAGGCCCAAGGAGATGGAGTTGTGAAGGTGTTATGTCTATGCATATTTGCAGCATGGGGTAGGAAGTGAAGGAGAAACACTCTAATTAACAAAGACAGAGATTCAGACCAAACATGAGATTCAATTTTATCCAACATGTATCCTACAAATTATTTCTTGTATTTCCCTCACAGGTCCTACAAAAACCAAACTGGTTGGTTTTCACGAGTAGAGAAAGAGTTCCAAGTGAGTTCTGAGTTTACATTTCACAATGATGAATATCTACTCACTCAATTCGTTCTACCAAATCCAAATACCATTAGGCCTCACAAGATACACACAGAACCACTGCCCTCTTGGGCAAGGCTACAACATAAACAAACAGGTCCAATTCCAACAGAAGTAATGAACATTTACCTGGTCTGAGAGTATACAGGCCTTTCACAATATTTGCCATAGTTGAAGGTGTGACCTGAAATGGTGTTGACTGGGCTTCTAGAAGTAAAGCTGAAATAAGAAGAGAAAGTGGGTTAAAAAGAAAGTAAACTTAATCTGATTTTCAAGATTTCTCTATTACTATTTTCCCCAGAGACTGAAGGGTAAACAAGTGTAAGAAAGAACAGCCCAAGAGGACAAATCAAGAGTTCATATACTAAGGAAATTAAAAAAAAAAAAAAATCCAGTATAGCAGAGCTCAATCTAACAGGTAAATACATGAAGGCCTGCTGGAACACTGAGGGAAATGAATCAATTCATGGAGGTTCTGAGAAGATGTTAAATAAAGCTATTTAAAAGCAATAGTATACATGGCACTTAGTAAGTGAACTGAGAGTGCTCCCATTACATTTGGGGAATAAAATATCATAAAATAACCCCCCTGAATCATTTCTCCTTCCCTAAGTCATCATATTTGAGGCTCATTCGCATTTTTCTGAAAGACACATATTAGTAATTTTAGTAACTGTGATCAGAGACGGAAACTCACTTTTCCAAATGCTACAGCTGCATCTACTTTTTTCTTACGAAAGCTAAGGGCTAGAGATAATGATGGCCCATCTTTCTCATTTTCATGACTTTGGTAACCACATGACCCTGACTCTAAACATGACAACAGAATCAGTTTTCTTTTAGGTTGTCATACTGCCACATAAACATTGCATTTAAAAAATTTTTAAATGATTAGGAGTAATTCCTCTAGATAACATTACTAAGAGATATAATCAAATTCCATTATTTAGTAGATATAACGATACTACTAACCTAAAATAGTTCATTTTTAATTTATCTCTCAAAGACCTGCAGTTTACTAACAACAAAAAACCTGGCATGATTTTACACTAAGCCAGGCTTGCAAAAATCATATAAATTTATTTTCCTCTGTCCCTGCCTTCCTAAAAATGGAAACGTCATTTTACTAGGCCAATGAGAATTTTATAGTTTAAAACATACAATGTTTCATTTGAATTTCTATGATGAAGATCATCAAAGGTATACTGTTGAAGCTTGTCTTCCCAATTTTATCATCTGTTGATAGTTACAATCTTGAATGACATGGATAAATTACAAAGAAGAAAAATGTTAAGTATTTCAGAAAATCTTTTGCTTTAAAATGCAATGTTTAATTACTGAAATTCTAAATGTTAGGTTCTGAGAGTCTCTCCTACTCAAGGTTCTAATTTCAATATGTACCCAAAATCCAAGCACTCTCTGTATATCCATCTTCCTACCTGTTCACCATCTTGGACTTTAATTAGCCTTGTTCCCACTAATTCTTCATATTCAACCACATTCTCCTTATGTGGTCAAGCATATACATTTATAAACAACCCCTACCATAACTATAATCACCTATGTCAAATTTGATATCTATGAAGAAATGATAAATTAAATATGCTACAAAGATATACATAAAAATGTATATAAATTAATTTGAAATGAATTAATTGAAAATAATTACATTCAATAACAAAAGATTATTAGAGTTAAGAAAGTGTTATAAGATTTCATTAAAATCCTCTCCACCTAAACTCC